ATCTTTCGTAATATCTACAACATAGAATGATAATAAAGTCAAACTTTATAACCCAAATTTAAAAAGCACTTCTTGAGGTTTTTTTTTTTTTTTGGAGGATCGGTGTTGATTCAGTAAGTCCTATTTTTAAGTAACTATAAAACTGGGGCCAGCTATAAACAATGAAAGAAACTAGCATGGAACTATTTGACAGGATAAAACCCAAGTGTCATAAACTTCTTCATCAGAATATTCCTGTTCGGGATATCCATGAACGGCTTCGTCTAATTCTTCGTCCTCGAGGTCGTAAATRCTCTYATTCTCGTCGCTTGAATCAAAGTATTCATCAGCATTATCAATGGATTTCATCTTACAGCCTTTCTTTGACAACTGGTTAATTTCAAAGATACAAAGAGGCAAATAAAGCGAGCAAAACAGGTAAAAACACTGGAAGGAACGGCCAAGCTCCACTTTGTTTTACTTATTGGAAGCCGAGTCGTTCTTGGTGTGACGTCATTCGACGCCAACTAGGTACCAGACCTCGCGATCCCGTCCAAATCGATGGGGCGTGGCAAAACTGCGTACTTTAGGACGTTATATCTCCGAGAATATTTAGTCAGTCGAAAAAAATTTTTTTGTTTATTCATCTCCAACACACAGAAAATCAAAATTGATCATAATCCTATAAAGGTTATAGGCACTTTAAATAAAGTTGTCTGTTTATGTCCTTTGTGATTAACGTAACTCTATTTTTCTCCCTCTGCAGGATCGATTTAGGCGGAACTGCAAAAATAAATAGTGATTACGTGGTAGCAGGATCATTGGTGGTAACTTTTCCGGCTAATGATTCATCAAATCAAAATATCAATCTTTTCATACTCAATGATGAACTTGTCGAAGAGAAAGGTCTTGAAACTATTATCCTTACGATCCGAAACGACGCTGCATTTGATGCTAAGGTCAACTTCTCGTCTCACACAGTCCAAATAGCCGATGATGACGGTAAGGAAGAGGGATAAATTGCATCATGAGTATAGAAATATACGGTTGCAGTATGGTATTGCTTCCTTTCTTTTACTGCTGTCTGTCGCGGTCTGTCTGTCTGTCTGTCTGGTTCTCTGGTTCTTTGTTTGTCTAACAACGTCTCTAAATAGACCCATGCAGTTTGGACGTAAATTAAATTTTAGGCCAGTTTTGATCATATAAGTAATAAGATTCCTTGTATAAGTACATCCGTACGAGCAAACAATGAAATAATACGAAAGAGACTGATAACACGTTACGTTGTTTATGACGGAGAAACGTTACCCCCAAGGTCACGTGGTGAATGGGTTTCCAAACTTTACTTGACAGTGACGATGACGACAATTATGATGAATAGACCCTTACAGCACATTGGTATGCAGCTTAATTTGGAGGCATAACAATAGTTTTCAATGCTTATGACTTTGAAGTCCTTTTGTTTTGCCTTCCAAATTGAGCTGCTTTGACGTCACATGCAAAGGGCCTACAATCTACAATAGGCCTTTTCTGAGTGCGATAAACGGGATGCATTGTGGTCAAGCTTAGGTACAAACAAACACCATATAAGCCATGAGGAACAAAAGATGTTTGTACCGAAGCTAGACCACAATGCAATGTTCGCTCTCAGAAAAGTTCTATGGACGACAATGGTGATGATGGTAATCATGATATTAATAACAGCAAGCACGTGCACAGTGCTTGTGAAGTCAACAGTTAAAATAAATTGAATACGTYTTATTTCTTTTACATTGAGCGACGGTTTTTTGTCGTATTTCAGTCAGTATTAATTGTCAAAACACCCAGGTCAGTGAGTCTGCGCCAACAGCTACAGTCAGAGTAACCATTTCCGGGTCATCACAAGCCTTAAGTGTTACCCATTCTATCATRTAAGTATTTTACTTCGCTCACTCGTAAGATATTGTCTCAGCACTCGAAGATAAAATTCATATCTTCGCGAGGCCATTTAACTACTTTATGTCAAATTGACATGGGTAAGGAGAGCAGGGAAGTCTCATGTTTAGTGCTCATTTAATGCCAAACAAATGTGCAAATCTACTAATTGCAAACCAGTTTTATTTCTAAATTCAGTCGTCAGTGTTTTAAATCAGCCTCTGGATTCTAAAAAAAATAAGATAAGATAAGCAGGGGGAAAACGCTAGAGAGAAAAAAAAAAAACGATATTTCAAGCCTTCATTTACAACACTAGGAAACTTACTTTCCAAATCAGATATGAATAATCTACTTTTAATTTAATATGCTCGTACAAAAGTCAAAGTTTTTGAAGTTGGCATGAAAATTTTATAGATACAATTTGAGTGGCAATAAAATATGAGTGGTTAAGAAAATATATGACTGATGTAATACACAGGGCCTCTTATCTAGGTTTATCTTGAAGTAAGATCCGCACTCAGCCGGGACATTAATTTGTTCTCACAACTGTCTTCTCTTTTACAAAGATGCTCCACGGAAGATGGCACAGCAACGGCTGAAGGTGATTATACCGCAAATTACAATGTTATGTTCAGTTTTACAAGTCCCAGCCGAGAAAAGGAAATGAGTATTTCAATAATAGATTCCAACGATGTCGAAGGAGAAGAAACGTTTAATGTCACCTGCTACACAAATGACGTACGAGTACGAATCGGTAGCTCTTGTCAGAATGCCGTGGTTACTATTCAAGATGACGACAGTAAGTATTAACTATGTTTTTTTTTCAAATTATATAAACAAATGGATTAATCTTTTCAAAATACACCGCTACCGGCTATGCTTGACTTTTCACCCAAAAATGGGTAGTTTTCCCAATGGAAAACAGAATGACCGACCAACAAACTATTCTATTAATCTTCCCTTAGAATGCCTTCTAATTCATTCTAAGACAGGCATTTACAATTTTCAGCAATCGGTGTCTGTTCCATGCCGTATATTAAAAAAAAAGTTAGCTTGTCCGACGAAGCAACAGTAACTAGGGAGGTACAAAAAAGTCAGACGTTTTCTCAACGGAATTTGTGGTCTTTCTTTTGTATTTTTTTGTCCACTGAAGATTATCACTTTAAAAAGGTGAGAGAAGGAGTCGATTGGCAAGGGGAAAAAATTCCATTTCATATAATGGAAAATCGTGCGGCAAATTCATAACAACCATGTGATGTCAGCCAGAAAGAATCCTATTGAAAACTTGCGATTGAGCTGATGAACATTCCGCATGAGACATGAAAAGAAGTGAAGTGAAAAACAGCAATTGATGACCACTCGATTAGATGACTTAAATGAGAACATAGTGATATCATAGCTTGCCATGCTCGTACGCTTCAAACTCATGAGTGGAAACCAATGCAAATAGTGGGTTGCACGGTTGGCTTAGCTGCTAATACATTGCCTCTCACCAATGCGACCTGGGTTTGAGTCCTGCCTGGCTTGGTGTCAGTGGCAGATCCAGGAACTTTATAAAGGGTTTACCAGGAATGCATGGAAGGGGGTGTCTTATTAAGGATATACTGAGAAATTTAAGCAAAAGGAGGAAGGGCGGAAGGCGGCTAGGGAGGAGGGGGGATGGCGGGATGGCTAGCCACCTGCTTCATCATCTCTAGATCCGCCCTTGCGTATGTGAGTAAAGCTGCTTGCTGATTCTCTCCTGTGCTTCGAGGGGTTTCCCCCATGTTCTCCGGTTTTCCTCCTTCCGTATATTCAACTTCTAAACTCCAATGCTCTATTTGTGCATAACCCGTAATGCTTTGCGCCTTGGGGGTCATAGGTCGTATTCAGTCGACGCCATGTTGTTTTGATGGCGTCTGACTGTCGTTGTCAAGAATGGGCAAAAATGGCTTTTGTTGTGCTCATAGCTATACTACTCGAATAATCGAAAAAAAATCCTCTGTTGAAGTTCTTTAGAATTCCTAAAGATGCAGCACGTAGAAAAGCTTGGTTGCAGCGAATACGGCGAGATAACTTCGCTCCAACTGAGAACACTCGACCTTGCTCAACTCACTTTGTTGGTGGAGTAAAATCATACGATCCACAAAGCAGATCATTTACACCATCCATCTTCAGTTATAGCCACTGTGTGTGGGTATACCAAGAACGAGTAAAAATAATTCGAAAGGCTACACTGACAATACCCAGCAGTGCACGGGCAATGAGAATAAACTGGGTTGCTGGTTGATCTTTCAAGCACCAAGTAAAGCAATTTACTCTCTTCGTTGTCTGTAGAAAAGGATGAGTAACAGTTCCCCCTTACGGGTAGTAAATGAACTCTAAATGATCGAAAATCACAAAGAAGGATTACTTTAAAAAGTTCTAAAGAAATATCAGTTGGAATACTGTCGAGAAAACTTACTTTACAGAGTAATCCCTTGCTTATGTTCCCAACACGGAGTGTTTATACTATTGACTCTTCCATCAATAGCGGACCTCCATTCTTTTATAATTTAATATACTAGGAATATTGACAATAGAAGTCGGAATGTGTTCTTTGTCTTTGTCAGAAGGGTCCGAAGTCGAAATGTTTAAAGCATTGCACAAGATGTTTACGAGGGCCTTTTTACCTATCGATTTTTCAAAATCAATAAATAAAATTGGATACCTCTTGATACGTTTTTGGAAGCTTTAAGTAAACGTTGTTTTGCACGCTTCGAGACGTTATTAGTTTGTTTACCTTGGTTACCCCACCCCCTAGGCCCAAAGCATTGTGGGTATGCGTAAGTAGAGAATATTCTCGATAGAGTTATTTAGTAAAGATAGACAGGTGATTATTGAAAATCTCGCCCGCTGATTTGGTCGAGAAACTCACACTATCACACGTTAGAAAACTCATTAATAATTCATGAAGAAAACACAATAGAAATCATGACCATGAAGGTGATTTTATATCTGATAAAGATTCGTCTTCATTTGCATAAACTTTAACTTGGATTTTCTCTATCAAACTTGGTTCATTTCGTAAAAAAATCGGTACACAATGAGAACAAACATCATAAGTTTTCTAAGCCGTTCAATAATCTCGCAGATCGTGGTTTATCGGGTCTAAAACCACTCGGCTGCGCCTCGTGTTTTATACCCGATAAAACACTCCTGCTCGTTTATTAAACATTACATAATCACCTCCAGCGATAATCCAAAATGGCGGCCAGCCGCTTTGTTGTCGTTACCGGAGAGGAATTAGAAATAATGAAAGAAAATTTTGTCCCCAAAAGGACTAAAGAGGCTAACAAATTTGCAAATTCAAAGGTAAAAAAGGACTTAAAACAATCAAATAAGATCAAACAAAATGTTTTTACGCCTATGTTGTATTTGAAGCCTCGCTTTTCACTTCAGTTTTTCCTAATTTTAAATGTGTCTTTTATCTTCTTTTTTTCTTTTTTTGAAAGAATCACCTGTGTATTTATACTAAAACAATGATTTGCCTCAGCCTCAGTGAATATCTGAGAATATTTACCTCGCCGCTCGAAGACTCGCGTCTTGGTAAATATTCCTCGACATTCACTTCGCCTTCGGCGAATAATTGTTTAAAAAAGCCACAAAAAATAAGACCTTGTAACTGACCAGGTCAGGAGGTTGTTTATTTGAATAAGTTGACTTTTCTAAAAAAAAGAGTTTGTGCTAACGTTCGCAAATTTTCTTCTTTGCAGCCAAGGTAGTCTTCTGTCCGGATGTTCAATCAAAACAAATAAGGGAGAACAATGGTCCTCTTTCAGTCAATATTTGTCGTGAGGGTGACCTGTCTTACCCGCTTACTGTCGTTAAGTGAGTAAATGTATAGTTCATTGCATCCTCTTGTAAAGGATAGAGAAGCGGTTACAGCGGTAAGAGGCTATGCAAAATACACCCAAATATTAAAGGTAAGGTAATGGCATCAAAGTTCCCTGCCCCATCTTGAAAGATAGCTGTGCCTGTGCATCGAAGAGAGACGAACGGCGAGCTTGCAATGATAGATACATGTGAACAATCGCCCAAGGTGTTAAAAAACGGTATCGCCTCTTACCGCTTAGTCCGGTTTCGAGTAACCGCTTGGATTAGATCTTAGAGTGCAAACCCTAAATCCGTGAAATAGCACAAAAACTAAATAGCACTAAACACATCTATTTCTTTTGTTTTCGATTGTATTATTGATGCTTTTTTGTACGAATTAGTTAGTACTATGTCATGAATATACGGTTTGCACTCTACTTTAGTTGAGTTTCTTGGAGCTAAGTCTCTCGGTTTGATGGGTTAATGTGTGGTTCTCTCCTGTACCTCGAGGGGTTTTCTCCAGGTTCTTTGGATTTCCACACTTCGTGAAAATCAACATGTGAGCTGAGAGTTGTATGCCTCTAATATTTAATGTTATGACATTTTACTCACTATCTCGCTTTTCATTGGCCGAGAGCCCTCAACTAATCCATGGTATTATGTGAATTATATGTAGGTTGCCTGCATATACTTATCATGTCAAGTTCATTCAAAGTCACACTGGGAATTGAAATACGTTTGCTATTTCTTTGAAAGCAGAATTAAATCTTTATTCTTAGTTTACTACAAATGTATAATAAACAATTGTTGAATTCGGTTAATTTTTGCATGTTATCGCCGGTAAATTATCAAGACCTCGGCCATTTTATCCGCCTCAGCCAGCGGTACACGATCTTAGTGTTGATAATTTATGATATCATATTTACCCTCTACCAATAATTGTATATTAGTTTTAACGTGTGTGAATGACAGAGGGACGAATTAGAAACCAGTGTGTATATATATATATATACTGAATTTTCTACAGGTTATGTACGACAACAGATGGAGGAGTCCTTCCTTCCGTTACCGAAGCCTGCGCACTTCTAAGGTTAACATCAAATAGCAACAGGACAACTTCTGAAATTACTATAAACGACGATGATGTTGGAGAGCAAGAATTCAAATCATTTTCATTTTACTTGGAAAAAAAAGATGATGATCCTTCAGCCGATTCCGTCACAGTTGACGGCATAACCCGTCCTAAAGTAACTATTCAGGATGACGATAGTAAGTATAGTAGTGCCAGTGTCTGACGACAACCCTATTCAAATGAAATCATAAAAATCGGACAATAATTTTAATGACTCATAAGGAATAAATTAGTTACAGGGTTAACATGGAAAATATCGTGTTACAATTTCGGACTCCGGGAAAAAAGTACCGGGGATGCTCGTCGTATCTCTTAGGGGTAAAAATTTGCGATTTGGTATCTTTTAGGGTGTTAAATGCGAATTTTTGAAAATCAGCATTTTCTGGTATCTCTTA